AAACAAAGTCTAAAAGGACAGCATATACAAGATCACAACTTCACAAGTGTTGTGGCAAATTGATGAAATTGCAAATCTATTACTCAACCAGAATTTCACACACCAAACAAAAATTACTCTTAAAAAAACAAACAATTTCACATGCTCTCAAACAATATTTGCTTAAATAAGAGGTACCCATTTTCTATTTTCTGCAAATTTACAAGAATCCTCACTTTTTTTAACCTTGTTTTCCAGAAATCCAAATGGGGTTATTGCAGATCCATATATTAAGCAACAACTAAATCTCATTCCATAAATTATCATAAACCTCAATCTAATAAGAAAAAAATTCAATGAAAATTTTCCAATTAAACCCAACAAAAAAACACAAAAATAAATAAATAAATCATTGTGTAATAAAACCCCATTACATAAATTCGAGCTAAGCACAAACCCATCAGTGGGAAAGCACACAATTCCTGAGAAATTACAAATTTGATGAACTTCAACAGTAAAAAAGTTAAGCTGAAACACTAAAAAAAGGCATAATCCAAGCAAATTGTGCTAAATTAAGCAGAAGATACAGAATTAAATCAAGCAAGCAACACAGAAAGAAAAGTAATATACGTGCTAAAAAAAGTAGAGAAAATTAGAGAAAATGATGGGAATCTTACAAATTTGGTCTGACAAGTTTCAGATTTCTGAGCTGATACTCATTCTGGGTAATTAAGCTTTTGCAAAATACGTAGCAGATTTTGGTTTGAGTATTCCTACTTCACACTATGACGCAAAACATAGAAAAAGGGGCTGAATACAAGCTTAATAACGGTAGTAGTATGTTTGTTAATGTTATCTTACCCAATTGCCTCAACCATAGAATTTAGTGTGCCCTATGTACTATGTTAGTATGCGTATGACTATACGAGTGTTCAAATCAGATATTTTGTTAAAAGAAAGTGCTTTTGCCTTTTTAGCCTGAGTGTCTACATGTTTCGTCAATGTCTTAGTATTGAAATTTCTACTTAAATATTTGAGATAAAATGAAGAGTATGAGTAACATAAATTGGGGACTTACAGGAGAAATTGACAACTTCACTTGGATGATTTGGATTTTTTTTAAAATTCTAAAATTGTTCTTGTTGAGATTGTAGATACGAATGCCCAATTTAATCATTTTAATTTCATTATTTATGGTTAAAATAGCAAAGGAAAATTTTGTTGCAACTTCAAAGTAATTTTTTTATTCGTATAATATCCAAAATAATGATTTATTCAAGTTTTTTTTTATTATTCCCCAATGACAAATTCATCTTCATAAAAGTCATTCGTTTGGTATTTGATTATTATTTATTATTAAGGAAAAATTGGAGGTTTCTTTTAGTAAAAAGGTAAAAGTATTGATCTCAAAGAGTTGATTGGTATTTTGAAAATGAGACAAGTAGATAAGCACAAGAAGTATTTAGGGATCCCATTGATCAATAGAAGAATACAGAAGTCAATGTTTGGGGCCCTAGCTTCTAACAGACATAGTTTGGAAAAAAAAAATTGAGGAGGGAAGGAGAAGTTGTTCTCCAAAACAAGGATAGAAGTTTTGCTTAAAGTGGTAAAAAATTAGAGATTTTTACGATTAAATTTATGCATCGACAAATGTGATAAAAGAAACGTACCAACTAATTTCAACATAGAAGATAATAAAAAGCTTGACCTTTAAGGTAATAGTATTTTACATATAATTTTAAGCATAAACACTAGTAATTATAAAGTTTTACCTATAACCTACGAAGTACTCTGTAATATTTTGTATTATTCAAACAAAGACAAATTGGAGTTTAAAAAAAGCAAGGATTTTTCTAAGCTATGCCCTTAAGGTTGTTGAGTTTCTAACGTGTGTCCATGTTTTTTCTAAATTACAAGTTGTACCTCTAACTTCAGTTGTTTAATCAACCGCTACCCTTTAATGTTATTTGACGTTAATAATTTTAATAAGAAGTAATAAGAAGGAGATTGAGAAAAAAGAAGAAGAAATACATTGAGAGCTTAACATATCAATGGTTGTTTTAAGTAGAAAGAAGAAAACGTAGATGAGAAAATGGGGAAAAAATGCTTAATGTGAATCCCTTTATATAACTCTAATCCAATTTGAACATGAAATTTCTTTCCAAAGTGCGTGGGGTAATTCACATTTAACACAACTACTAATGTCGGGTTAACGTAAAAGCGAGTTAACGTAAAAGAGTATAATTAGATAATCAACTTAAGTTGGAGGGCACATCTTGTAATTTTGAAAAAGCACAGGCACACCTTAGAAACTCAATAACCATGGGGCATAGCTTAGAATCCCCACTCCCCAAAAAAAGAAGGCAGAAAACAAGAAATCATACTTTTTTATTTCTTCATGTTGAAACTTTCTACTCCATCCATTTTTTAATAAGTGTTCCATGTTAACTTTTTATTCAAGTTAAGCATATACTACATTGTTTTGACCAATGTTTATGCTTTATACCTAAGATTAAATATAGTCATGTGTGTAATGGTTAAATTTGTCTAAAGGTGTAGTTTTCGTATATAAAATATCTATAGCTTATACTTATTACTAATTGGATCGGTCAAAATAGAGCACTTATTAAAAGAACGGATGAAGTAATGGTTATTCCCCCCTCCCCCCCCCCCCAAAAAAAAAAAAAAAAAAAAAAAAAAAAAAAAAATTAAAAAAAAATTATCCGACCTGCCGGAATCGAACCAGCGACCTAAAGATTAGCTGTGATTACCACTACAGTCTTCCGCTCTGCCAACTGAGCTAAGGTCGGATTATTGATAATCTTTGGAGGATAAATCAAATAACGGCTTTTGCAATTTCAAATATGAAAAAGACAAGAAAGATGGTCCAAATCTTAAAATAATTTGATTACCTCTAATTTGAAGACTACAAAGAGGAAAATGTAACCCCCACACTAACTATATACAAAGAAAAGATGAAAACCCAAAGTTCATGCCTTTTGTTATTAATCCATTATAAATAAAACTAGAAGGGTCATCTCAACTTGAAACTCATTTTAGTTTCGTTAGTTGCGAACGATTCACATTAGTAAAAGAGGATAGGTAACTACTACTTTGAATTTTATTATGCAGAAGAGAAATTCCTAATATCCCAATTGATAAGATTTTAATTTAATATATATGCCATCTTTTTTTGACCTTGGATTTGCCTATGGCATTAGAGTTCGGGTTACTAGCCTTTTGTTAATAATATGTGTTTTTTGCTTCCATTTAATATCAATTCGCAATTGTTATTAAAATATGGTCGGATACACATATATTAAGAATTAAGTACAATTATTTGAATATAGAGGTTTGAAATGCATAATAGTATGAATTAGTACAATGGATAGCTAATGTTGCATTGATTAATTTTAGAATTTTTCAAGAGTGGATCAGAATTGTTTTTCATTATTACTTCTTGCATTTCTGAATACTGATAACATTTTGTTTAACACACTTGTCACAACAACAACTGATTTTTATGTATTACTAGTAAGAAAACATGGTCAAAATTATTCTTACTTCTTTGCCCTCAGCCCAAGTGCCATTTGTAGAAAGTCAAAATCTATAATCGTTTTTACAAATATTATTTTGCCATGCATTATCTTGTGTACATAAGCTCTTGTAGACGCTTTATACGTAAAAGTTTAAACCATGTAGGTACCGAATGTTGGGGCTCCAACCCAAGACCCACTCGAGACGGCTTGTACTTTAGAACATGTATGTAAATATCAAATGAATAAATGTATTAAACTTTAGTTTGTTTGATTAATTATTTCCTTTGACCGAAAAATGCAAATGAGCTACGTTCATTCGTTCAAGTTATTAAAAGGTTATACTATATTTTTGATTTTTTTTTTTTTGAAGCAAGTTATACTATATTTTAAGTACTACTTCGTATGTATTTAATATTATTTTTACTTCACATATATAGCTGGGTTTTTTTAGCTAAGTTATTTAAAGGAAAAACTCTCAAATATCAATTATCTACCTTGAAGTTATTTAAATAAATGACTAATTATTTCTATTAGCCAAAGAAAAAAGCGCAAATGAGCTAAACTTTAAGTTAATTAGAGTATGTTATTTTTAAAAGGGAGAAGGAAAAAAATGATCTGTTAGGATCAGGATATTGAACCTGACGTGAATCGAACACGCAACCTTCTGATCTGGAGTCAGACGCGCTACCATTGCGCCACAGATCCCTGTTGAATATTTTTACATTTTTTTATTATTTATACTAATTTTCCCATTATGAACTAACAGAATAAAATACCATACTCATTGTGAGTCTTATGAGCAACGATTTTTTATCATCTTATGTCATACAAAGTATATAATTGGATATGGTCCAAAGTTTGATCAAATTTATGTCTCAATATTAGGAATTGGGTTTATTTTCCATTTTCAAAATAATTCTGGGTATAAGCATAATTTGATCGCCTAAAAACTCGCATCTACCAGAAATTGAGCTTATCTTCTCCAAGCCTACGGGAGTGACTTTGATGGAAGTTGTGCAATATAGACACTAGGATTTGGAATTGTTGATCTCATTACTCCAATCCAGAGACCAAGTATAAAAAGATCTAAACAAAAGCATCTTTTAAATGATGAAATTCGTCTACTACTACCTCCGTTAATTATTATGTGCAACAAAGATTTTTTTTTTTTTTTTTTTTATTATTATTATTATTTTTATTATTATTTTTGTAAAGAACGGTTGCAACAAAAAAATATTTTATGTCTCCTTTGTTGCACATAATAATTAATGGAGGTAGTAAACAATAATCACTGTCAAAAAAAAAAAAAAAAAAAAAAAAACAATAATAGCAAATCATTACTGTATTAGCTGATGTTTAAAGTAACAATTCAAAGCTTAAGCCTCCAGAACTTTTAGCAAAATATTCTTATATCTGCACATTCTGTGCTTGCTTTGCAGAACAATACAGATGTAAATCATGTAATTCAATTCGGAAGAGTAATTTAAAAGAAAAACTATCAGCAATTGATTTGATGATACAAAACTAGCTTTGTGCGTCTAGTACAATAACACTCTTTCAAAAAAATTAACTCCAGTAGAAAATCCAGTAAAGAATAAGTATAAAAATAATAATAATAAATAAAATAAAATACATGGAAACCAGAAAAGCGAAAATTGCAAAATTCATCTGCTTCATTCCTTGTCAAAACAGAAGCAAAAATGGGGGATGAATCAGATAATCCAGATTGCAGCATTATAATATTATAGCCTCTAAATTGGATGTAACGAGGAGCTATAACAAGATATAGTACAGTATACAGGAAAGGTCTCTCAGTCATCAACTTCAGCCTTGATCTCCTTCTGAAGGTCCTCCTTATACTCTTCAAACGATCCAGGAAACGTTCTCACTGTCCCATTATCAACAATCCAGATCTGGCTCCTCTCTTCATCATCACAAACCCGTGAAATCAGCCGAGAATCATGACTAACTAACACAACACCCCCGGTGAATTCATCTAGCGCGTCAGCAAGAGCATCGATACTCTGCATATCCAAGTGATTTGTGGGTTCATCTAACATTAGTATATGGGGCTTTGACATTGATATGGAAGTAAAAACCACCCGAGCTTTTTGACCTCCTGATAATTTTGCTATTGGGCTAAGGTGGTTATGACTAGAAAGCCCAAATTTCCCAAGCTTAGCTCGGACAGCTTCTTGCTTGCTCATCCCTTCTTGGTCAGGGTGTAAACGAAGGAGATATTGAACAGGGTTTTCATCCATTGTTAAAAGATCAACAAAGTGCTGTGAATACCTTCCTATCCTCAGCTTCTGACTCTGCCTCGACTCCCCTTCACTTGGGCTCAAATCACCTGCCAAAAGATTGAGCAGGGTTGATTTGCCAGCACCATTGGGCCCCACTATAGCAACTCGGGTACCCATATCAATACCCACATCAACATTTGAAAGCCTGAAATCAGGTCGGTTAGGGTAGCTAAAACTGACTTCAATGAGCTGAAGTAGTGGAGGAGTGAGCTCAGTGGGTTCTGGGAAGTGAAACTCCACTGTATAATCTCTCCATTTGCTCGGGGCTTCTTGCACTGCTTCATCTTCATCCACTTTTCCTTTTGATTTTTTCTTAGACACTTCTTTTGCTGCTGCAAACTTTGCTCTCTCTTTCACCTTCTGCTGCTGAGCCTGGTTTCCAGCCCTTTTCGCGGCTTTCAATTGCTTTTCATATACCTCATACTTTTTATTCATCTCTTTTCGACGCTGTTCATATCCACTCTCGAAGTCATCAAAATTACCCCTGTATAAATGAAGCTTCATATCATGAAGATGTATAACCTCATTACAGACAGTGTTGAGGAAGTCACGGTCATGGGAGACAACAATGAGAGTTTTCTTCCACCGGCATAAATACTCTTCTAACCAAAGAACTGCTCTAAGGTCAAGATGGTTGGTTGGTTCATCAAGCAACAGAAGAGTAGGTTGCATAAATAGTGCCCTGGCCAGGGAGATTCTCATTCTCCATCCTCCGCTGAATGACTTGGTAGGGCGTTCCTGCATATCCTTGGTGAACCCTAAACCAGCCAGGATTTTAGATGCCTGAGCCTCAGCGGCATCTGCATCCAACAAATTCAGCTGCTCATATAATTCAGCAAGTCTCTCACCTGCATCATCCTCACCATTATCATCATTGACACCATCCTCCGCAGAAGAAACATTCTGCAAAGATGCAGCCTCTTTCCTCAGTCTCACCAATTCTTCATTGGCTGAAACAACTGCTTCAAGCGCTGATCTGTCATCACCAACTATTTCTTGTTCAACCAGTAAAACATCAATATTTTTAGGCACCGGAATCTTTCTCCAGGCTAAAAGCTTCAAAAGGGTAGACTTCCCCATTCCATTGGGCCCAACCAAACCATACCTTTTTCCATGAGAGATTTTTAATGATGCATTCTTTAAAAGTTCTTTTCCCCGAGCGGAAACTGAAAAGTTCTCAATTGTAATATCTTTGACGTTAGCATCAGCATCATCTCCGCCCTCGAGAACAGAAGCCCGACTTCCAATGACAACAGTGAATGCATCACGATCATCCTTCAAGGCCTCTCTTTTTGCAAGTTCAGCAGCTTGAGCAGCCAGCATGTCTTTTTTCTCTCGTTTCTTCAACTCTTTATCAGTTATAGAAGAACCAATGATCTTGGATTCTGTCTGCTGCTGTAATGAGCTTTGCTTCTCATCCAGCTGTCGCTCTTCTTCTAAGCCATAGTAATCATCATCATCATCTGATGGAGGAAGATCTATATCATCAGTATAAGATGAAGCTTGTGCCTTTGGCTTGGGTTTACTCGACACAGATGCCTTTTTTGTTTTCTCTGGCTTTTGATCCATGCTAGCAAGCATTGCTGAAACAGAAAACTTTTCTTTCTTCCCGTCTTTAGAACTAGCTGATTGACCTCTTGAAGTGCCTCCAGCATCATCAGATTTTTTCTTTCCCATTAGAAACAATAGCTGCAGCAAAAAAAAAAAAAAGGCTAGTCATTAATTTTTATTTTTTATACAAATAACTTCTTGTTCTTTGCCAACAAAAAAGGCTGTATAAACACACAAAATCATCTCATGGTTCGGGTCACATTAAGAGACTAAAGCACATGGCAGGTCTTTGCAACCATTTCAAATATCTTTTCTTTATCACAGCTGAATAAAGTCAAAGTTCCATAGAATTGTGTTATATATAACTTACTTAACTTACTTCAAACACATAAGTTCCAATAGGTACCATTCGTACCAATAAATTCAAGCAGCTACAATAGACTCCAATAAATTAAGTTAACCTACGTTAAGATGTGCCAGATTCAGTAACAGAACACACCATTAAGACTTAAGAGTATGTCCCAATCCCAAGGAATACAAGTTTACGCGAAAATAATCTTAAGCCGCCATCCAAGTACAAATTATTTAAGACTCTGACCCTCACTCTGTATAAATTTGGTATAGTTGCATTCTCATTTGGAACCTTCAGCAGGATAATGAAGTCAAACGTTCATAGGTTTTAATACAATTCCCAAGAGCACTCATCCACAAACTGAATTCTATTAGAACTAATATGCTTACATTCACTGAAATGTTATCCCAAAGATCTAGGACCAAAAGCAGTTATCCATGACCATTGAATAAGTTTCCTCATCTTGAGTTGGAATAAAACCCTAGATTGTAATTCTCCATCATCAGATAAATATGGAAGCACTTCAAAAATGCTTTTGTTGGGGGGAGAGGGGAGAGGGGGGAGGGGGGGGTGACGTAGTGTTGGTACTGACAAAAGCAGTCATACTTCACACTACAACTTCCTTAATGAAAAAAAAAAATCTTAATAATAACAGGCTTGTTTCATTGACGAAGCTCATCTTACAAAACTAAACATCTCCTACAGCCCTACCATGATAAAACTGTGAACAATGTGTTTGATTTGCTCAATGTCACTTGTCTTGCTTCTACGGTTCTAATAAGAGGGGGTAATTCTTTTAAAACAATACAAGTAATAGAAATTCCCAAGTCTGAATTGATGATGAATGACCGTGATCAGAATGATATCCTCTAAATCATACAGTGAAACAACAAAATTACATCTACTCTCCTGTATTTCAACTCTTAGCATTGCTACAATAGTACAATCCTCAAGACATCATGTAATCAGAATTTACCCGCGATTGAACTCCATGAAATGACACCAGCCCTTATTTAACGACTTAATCCCAAGACTCCCAACAGATAAATTTTAAGGGATACTCAGAAATTCAGCTCCTTTCGATGGCACAATACACCTACACTGCCACACCACCAAACCTCCTGCAAATGTTCTAAATCTTAAGATTCGTAAATAAATACTCGTACAATAAATCGCATTCAGCTAGTCTTCCTCAACTAAATGTCTAAATATATTTATCATAGAAAAAATTTATCCAGGCCGTCCCTTAGCTAGGGAAAAAGGGGCTACCGCCTCGGCGTGGCAGAAAAGATCCAATGATTATAGTTCCGTCCAAACATTAAAGAGTTATAAACAAAACCCTGCAATATATTGGCAAGATGGAAACCAAAGTTGATCCAATCATCAAATTAGGCAAGAAATTCACATAAATTTCTTCTGGTTAAGAATATCAACATAAATTTCACATAACAAATTCTAGCATCAAAATCGTTTGTTATAATCTTTCATAACTTTGTAAGCATAGTTATTAGTTCAAAAATCAACCTTGAAAGAGCCATAAATTGACTATACTGACAATTGAATTAACGATAAACCCTAGATTGTGAAATTGATATACGATGATTAGTGAAAAAAAAAAAAGTAATAAAAGAAAGGGAAAAAAAAAAAAAAACTAACCTTGGAAGCTGTTTTCAATGGAGGAGAGAAAGCTCCGAAACCGCTTCAATGGAGAATTCAGAGTAGGCTTGAAATAAAGGGACGACAGGAGGGTGCTGCCGGTGCTGGAGTAAAAGTGGAAAATTTTATTAGAGGAAGGTCGAACACACACATTTAAGGGGTTCGTTTGACATTGTTGCGGTTTTCAAGACCTGTTCTCATAAGTTGAAATTCAGTTTAGCTTAGCTCAGCAGTTCAGTTCAGTTCAGCTACTAATTTCTTTCTCTTATAAAATATTCATTTCATTTCAGTTCAGTTCAACTCAGTTCAGTTCAGCTGAGTTCAGTCAATGAGAATAAGCCCTCAGTTTTTTGGTTTTTTGTATTTTAAAAGTGTATGATATATGTCATATAATGAAAAAAAATTAGTCAAATTTATTAAAATCATGTTAATTTTGAAAACTGACAACAGAAAAGAGAGAACACCTTTTTTTTTTTTTTTCTTATTTCCCGTTTTTGGTTTTTTGTTTTCAAAAAAACCGAAAACAAAAAACAATGTCAAACAAGCACTGAGTTAAAAGTTTTTTTTTATAAACGAAGTCCTAGATGACATTAATTCATATGAAATTTTGTCTAGAATTATCTTAAACATAGGTTCATTTGTGAATAATTATCCATTTTTTTATTTGTTTATAACTATCCACAATTTAATTAACTCCACGTCTTTCATCCAATTAAGACGTTATTGGGTCCACTTTTTCACTTAATTAACTCCCCTAATTACCTTCTCTCTCCTCCCTAATTAATTTCCCCTCCATTGTCACTCAAAAATCCAAAAGATTATACTCAATCAATTGAACACAAATTCTCAATTATTCAAGTAATGTTTCACACTTTCCTTTCAATTCATTGTTTATCGTATTTGCATACAAGTTTTAATTGAACACAATTAACATAATTAGGGTGTAAATTAGGGATTCGGATTAGGGTTTATGGATTCAAATAAATTTGGGGGTTTTGATTTCTAGGGTTTAGGGGTTTAATTGAGTTCTAGGTTTCGGTTATTTTGACTTTGAGATTGAATTCAATTGTATTTCAATTACTAATTGGCCATTGCAATTGGTATGATGTCTAAATGGCCATTGTAATTGATAGGATGTCTAAATTTTGGGGTTTTAATTTCTAGGGTTTAGGGGAAGTTAATTAGGGAAGAGAGAGAAGGTAATTAGGGGAGTTAATTAAGTGAGAAAAGTGAAAAAGTGGACCCATTAACGCTTTTTTGGACGGAAAACGTTAATGGTAGTGTTACTGTACCCAAACTTTGCTTATCTTCTGGGTAGTTTTTTTTATTTAAAAAAAAAAAGGGTTGTTGTTCACAAATAACCTTATCTTTAAAGTAGTGCTACACAAAATTTCCTAATTCATATTTGGATATAATTTTAAGATAGTTTAGAGTTTTATTTTCGATGAAATACCAATATTTCAGATGTACATATGGAATTTTAATTTTATTCAAAAAAAAATTAGTTTATAATTTTCAAATATTATAATATAATTTTTTTTATATCATACGGAGCAATATTTTTTGGAGCGGAGGAATTAGTTCAAAATATCCATTTTTTTAATATATATTAATCGGTTAAAGTAGTATACTTTACCATCATCATCATCATACATAAAAAATTTTAGCCAGGCCACGAGATAACGACACGTGGCATTCCAACTTTTCGTCAGGTGTCGTGCCACGTAGGTGAAAATTAGTTATAATTATGCCACGTAAGATTTATTTGAATATATTTTTTTGTAAAATTATGATAAAAAAAGTATGATAAAAAATTAAAGTTATTTTATAGTTTTATTTTCAATGAAATTTAGATAGATTTATTAGGATAAAAAGTTATTTTAGAGTTTTGTTTTCAATAAAACTTTTAGTTTTTAAAATTTTATTTTCAATAAAATACCAATATTTCTATACAAATGACGAATCCATAGACGTATAGAAAGAAAAAATAAAATATCAAAGACACATGTAATTATATATAGGAAAATTTGTCAAAAAAAATCTTTTAAATGCCCAAGAAAAAACCTTTTAAAAAGATCTTTGTTAAAAAATAAAAAAAAAACCACCACGATCACTTTTTTTGTTGGATGAAACCTCTCCCCTCTTTATCGACATTGACTCAAAGATTCAGACGTTGACTCCTTATTTTCTCTACTTACACCCATATTTTTTTTTATATTTGCACTCCCTCTTTTCTTTTCCCTCTTATTTCCCTTGAGTTAATGCCTTTATTCTCTCTCTCTTTCTTTTGTCTCTCCATAAATGTTTAACACTTCAATCACATCACTTTGGGTTTCTCTCTCTCTCTTTCTCTCTCTCATCTGCTCATGCCATTAATATTCCAACAATTAACTAAGGTAAGTGTTAATCCATCAAATTAATTATTATTGCAAGTAGTATAAAAATTGGGGCTTCTTTTACCACAGTTGACAAAATCACTTATTTGTTGTCGTTAATGGGTAAAGGAGAAAGAAATGGGTCGTTTGGTCACAAAATAAGTTTTCCTAATTTGTACTTGATGTTAAAACTAAACCCACAACTTGTTAGAGAGAAGAAGGGTGGAGTGAACACTACAATGGTGGGGTGAGCACTAGAATTGTGAAAAAAAAAATACCCTACTTTACCTGTCAATTGATTCGATTTGGGGAGGTTTAATTTGCCCTAATTTTTCTTTCAATTGATTTGGGGAGATTTGCCCTAGAGGGAAAATTAGGGAGCTAAGAAAAGGTTGGAAAATTAGCCAACAACAAGCTGCAAGTAGAGAAAATGAGGAGTCAACGCCTAAAACCTTGAGTCGATGCCGGAAAAGAGGGAAGATGTTTCATCTAACAAAAAAATTGGTCGTGGTGGTTTTTTTTTTAACAAAAATCCTTTTAAAAGGTTTTTTCTTGCAAAATGAGACATTTAAAAGGTTTTTTTTTTTTTTTTTTTTGACAAACTTTCCTTATATATAACCGTTTTCTTAATCTTAACATGCAACCAACCTTTCACTAGATATTCAGATGAAAGTAAAAGAGATCATAGATTTAGTCGGCCATTCTTTTTTGTTATACGTTATTAATACCCATAAACGGACAAGTATGATTATCAAGTGATTATTAATCCATGAGTAGAAAAATCATATAACATATATATTCTAGATAAATTGTTTTATTTTAAAATTCAATAAACAACCCGGGCATCGCAAGGGGTATAAAACTAGTTTCATTAAATAAAGTTATATGACATATATAATTGACAATTAACGATAGTGAAAACAGAATTAACAAAATCAAATAAGAATTAATCTGAGAAGGACTAAGGGCTTGTTCACATTTACTGAACTGAACTGAAATGATTGGAGCTAAACTGAACTGAACTGAAGTGAGTTGAAATGGATACTTTATGAGAGAAGAAAATTAGGAGCTGAACTAAACTGATTGGAGCTGAAGTGAACAGGCCCTAAGAATTCAAATACATAAATATAACACTTTGGCACATTCTCGATTTGTTGTCTCAGATAATTTTTTGAGTGGATCCGTCATTGCTCAAAGAGGAGTGTGACTAAATAGTGATCAGTGCTAAAACAAAAATGTATCAACTAAAAAATGGAGGTAGTATATGGGTATGTTCGGCAAAATATAGCTGAGAAGGTAGCTGTAGCTGTGGAGATAGCTGCGAGTTGTGTATGTAGCTGTTAGTTGTCAACAAGCTGTTAACTGTGAAGATAAATAATTTAGATATGAGGGTTCGGTAAAGTATCGGTTGACTAGCTGTTACATATTAAAATCAACATTTTATTTTTAAAACTATAGATTAAATTTTCAACAGCTACCTCAAAAGCTACCTCTAACTTCAAAAGCTAATATTTCTAACTTTTCATAAAAGCTACCTCCACCACTAAAAGCTACCCTAATCACTACTTTGCCAAACACTCACATTTGATGTCAAGTAGTGATTTGACCAAATCACTAAAATCTACCTAAAATGCTAGCGCCGAACCCACCCTATATTTAGTCAAAGCACGAGAGCCGCTAACACGACACATTGACTCGCCCGACCCAGCCCGTACCCAGCATCAGAATAATCATCAAGCCTTACAACATGCTGTGTTAATTATCCCCATCTAAAATGGACGATCTTCCTCCTCCCTCCAAATTCACAAAAACCAAAATTGAATTCCAGACTTCTTTCTTAGATGAGTGAGATTTTTAATTAAAGTGTTACGAAATTACAACCCAGATTTTTTTTTCTCAGCAAAAATGGGAGTTACTTCAGTGATCAACAATGGTGTCCAAACAATTCCTCTTAATTTCAATAAGGGTTTCTCTACTAGAATTTCATCCTCCATTTCTTTGTCTTCTTCTCACTTTTTGCATCCTAAATCTATTCTTCTTCGCTCAGGTAATTCTCTTTTAAGTTTCGTTTTCGATGTTTCGAATTTAATTTGATGATTTTGTTTAATTTGATTGATTTTGATGTAGTGAATTCCCAGCAAAAGCATAGTTTATCAGTTGTGTATGCCAAGAGTACTAAGGAGGAAGATACTACTTCCACTACCTCAGGTACCTTATATAAGTATAATTTCTATTGATTACTGTAATTGATTGCTCTTATACAAGTATAATTGCGGTATAAATTACAATTATACAAGTATGATTGCTGTAAATGATTACCTTATACTAACATAATTTCTATTAATTATTGTAATTGATTGTTCTTTATGTTCGATCTCGAATAATTTCATTTGAAGAGGGGAATTGTGACCATGATTATTTAAATTTTTGATATAGCGTCAATATTTTAAATTTTTGTAATTTTAATCATACGCGATTAAAGATATTGTGGTTCAATGATATTCATCTGAAATTGTTAAAAAAAAGTCAAATGGGGTCAACATTAAAGAATGAGGGAATACTGGTCTAAATTTTAGGAGGCCGAAAAATATACGTGAAGGGGTCAAGCATCAACCTAGACATTAGCATGGACTCATGGACTGTCCTTTGGAATAAAGTATAAATTGATTACCAATATAGTGGCATTATTGTTATTTGTTATCACAATGATTCAATTTTGATGTACATTGTAGTTTAAGACAAATTAGAATTTGATCTTTGTTAACGGAACACAAGAAGGGATGTGGTATTGTCATTGAGTTCCCGGGCATCCATCCAATGCATTCTTTTCGACTTGCTTGTTATTGCATGTGACATAATTATTGCCTTTCTGGGTATGTGGGATTGGCATCGACTATTTGTAGTTGTTTGCTGTCACCATAATTCATCCATAGAGCAACTATGTATACTTATGATCTACTCCCTCTATCTACAAATAATCATATTGTATTCCTATGTACGATTCAACATAATATCATCTTGTATAGTTGTATTCTTAAGTAACAAAACCTACCCTAAAAGCTTCCATTCAAGCCACAGGTCAGCTTGAGCTTCTTTCACTTTCTCTTCTTCCATATTCAGCGGACAAACAGTAGCCACATGCTTGCCTGAAAATCATTTGAGAGATGTTTTTGTATCTTGAGTCACTCAAAGCAATTAAATATAATTTGAGGCTTTTCACTTAGAAATGTTTTAAAAGGTCAAATACTCCCTTTTAATGTACATGTTAGTGGTCTCACAAAACACTAACCAAGCTTAATTGCTGATCATGTTGCTGCTCTAAATACAGTTTTGCTGTTAATTAAAACTGCATTTTGTTTCTTTATCCATCAACTTCTTCCCTTTGCCAACACAAGACAATCATATCTCAAATTCTTTCAAAGTCTCTACTTCTGTTTTTTTTTTTTTTTTTTTTTTTTTTTTTTTTTTTTTCCCTTGTTATTTTAAAATCCTTGCTGTGATACTTTCAGTTACCAAGAATAGATTATCTGACAGAAAATAATATGGAAATATATGTAGAAAGATGATGGTCTACTTGTAAAATTTGCAGAGTGGAAGAGAAAGGCGAGAGGGAGAGTTGCATGATGATGGGAATGGTAGTATTAATTTGGAGTCCCCTCTTCTCCTCCCTCCCCTCAATCTTGATGCTATAGTTTAGCTTATCATTTCATTTTATTTTGACGAGTTCAAAAGTCTTTTGAATCTTCAATGGTATTGGTAGTTTGACATTTTGAGTATCTACACAAAAGTGGAAAAGTCTTTGGACTATTAGGCGTCCTTTTTTTTCATGTAAATGAAGTAGCTTGTTGCTTGAATGGCATGCAGAACAGGATGGAGATAGTACTCAGTCATATCCCAGTAGTAATGATAGGAAGTCTCATCTGTCAGCTTCTGCAGGCAGTGCAATAAAAGAAAAGGATGATAAAGGAAGCTATATGTCATCTGTTCGAAATGTTGCCTTGTGTGTGAGTATCTTTAAAAGTATTTTTTACTTTTTCCCTTGTTTACTTTCACTTATGTTAAACAATGTAGTCAATCATCTTATCAGGTAAGCACAGCAGTGGCATTTGGTATCGGTGTGGGATTCACAGAAGGAGTTGGCAAAGCTACAGAATTTTCTGCTGGGTATGATACTGTAATTTCATTTTGTCAAATCTGTACAAATTAAATGCATAAATATGTGCCAATACCCGGTAACTGCATGGCTTTGCTTTTTGTCTTGTACTACATGTCTCATATGAATACAAATGGAATGAGTGATCCACACTGCCATAAAAAATAAGTATGCTGAATTTACTCAATTTAGTGCTGGTGCTGCTTACAGAACTCGACGGCTTGCCAAATTGGAGAATCATATCTGATGATTTTGATCTTGATGATTTTTCATTTTACTGTTTGGACGGTAAATAGGATAAGAGAGTGTTTATTAGTTGTTGCTTCATATTTAATTTTTGTTTCAAAGACACTGTTACTTAAATCCTTAGCCTCCTCTATATCTTTCCACTTGCTGTTCTTGTTTCCTTCATTCATATTTAGTCTGTGGGATTCTTTCAAAATGAAATTTCAGAATTATTTATGTTACCGTCCTCTCCCAGAAAATAGATATAACTTGCTTGGTTGGTTCCCAGAAAATAGTACATCTGTAGGGTATGGCAACAGATGAACAATTTTTTGTTCCTCTATTTCTAAGAGATTTTGAGAATTGCTTATGTAATGAGAGCAAGTTACACTTAACATGTACATTCAAGCTCAATAATCTCAAAGCCATGCATGTATTTAGGCAACAAATCTAATACTATGTGAATTTTTTTGGAAGTTCAAAGTTATTGTATACTTGTATAAGGTTTAAGGTCTTTGGAAATAGTTGGGCTCCAACTTCTAAAGAAGTCATGAATGAATTAGGAAAGTGAGCTGAAACCTAAAGTGAGGATATTTACGTTTGAAAATCAAAATTAAATAATGATATACTTACAAATCATCATTACCAACTTTGAAGGGCCACTATTGGTATAAAAGTTGTCACTTGTGACTAATGAGTATAAAACTTTGGCATAGCTATTTAAAATTTAATATTAAGTGCCTTTTTGATGTTGAAAATTATTATATCTCCCATTTAACAGTTGAATAGAGGAATTATATTTATTAGAATTTTGTAAATTCAGTAAGGTTACATGGATCCATGAATAGTATTAAATACTAACTATGGACAGCATGGAGTATTTGGTTGTTACACGCTAAAATGCAAGGATAACTTTCACAAAATGGAGTTGAGGAAACTTACTGATTCAATTTAGATCTTCATTATCTTGGTTTGTTCATTGTAGGTTAATTTGTGGGGTTTGCATCAGATTGCGCTCACTAATTTAACTCGTTTTTCTGAGCTAATCTTTGTGCTCCTTGCAGAAAATTTATGCTTATTGTTATTGGTGGATTGGGGGTAGATGTATGGTGAAACATGTGGAAACAGTGGTGGTGCCTGGCAAAAACACATGGAAATATGGTTGGGTTTGTGTGGAGTTGATTTTTTTTTTTTTGAAATTGTGTGGAGTTGATTACTTGGCTTGTGCATGAATTAAAATTGGGTTCTAACCAGGATTTCGTAGTTCTCATTGGATTTAGGAGGGACAAGTTAACAACAACTAATCATGCCATAGCTAAATAAGAATTTCCTAATTCCCAGATATAAGTGAAACTCGATTGGTCTTATTAAATTATGTTACTTACTCTCCTAACTTTCAGTATGGAGTAGTGGCAGCTTATACTTATACGTGTTGTAGTAGGATACAAAGACATGTTTATACTTCTAACTATAAGGAACTACAAAGACATGTTTTCGTAAGAAGTTTTTAACATTAGTAGGTTATTGTCATCACTACTAAAAGACCGACAAGTCAAACTTCATCTATTTTCAGTCATTTTTCTTGTTGTGCATCTGAATCATTAAATATGTTGTGCTAGATGAGCTAATAAAACAATTCTCATTCATTAGTGTTCTCATGCATCCTCTTTGTTCTTCAATTCTTACCTAAATCAATTGACATGAGGTTGTGGTAGCTTGACTTATCGTATTTGTCTGGAGTTTGAGTAGTGATGGATTCGAGAAAAAGGGGAATTCTAATTCAATTATGGTTGTGATTGCAGAAAAGGAAAGATATAATATACTCAATGATAGTCAGAGCTTCATAATTGACTAAACTTTAATGTAGAAATAACTACTGCCTGTGTCCTAGGACAGCTACATATGTTTTTTTTTTTTTTTTTTTTTTCTTTTTTTTTTTTAAAAGTAAATATGGAGGATACATACTACCTCTGTTACAGGTTATGTGCAACGATTTGACATAAAGCAGAGAGGGAAATTGTCTAATCATTGCACATAACCTGTAACGGATGTAGTATTTGTATTGTATGGCATCTCTGTCCTCTTTACTATACACATTTGCTGTTGTACTTTGTGAATCTTCATCAGTATGACGAGAGTCATTTTCAGGTACCTGTTGGAGCAAAGTCTTTCTGTGGACAATCTATTTGTCTTTGTTTTAGTTTTCAAGTACTTCAAAGTCCCAATTATGTACCAGGTATGGCTTATCTGCTAATTGTGATCTGTAGGTTATGTCAGTTAAAATCATTGTGACAATTCTGCTGTAGAACTTGTATTACCTCTCTTACTGAAAGATAGACTTTTAGGGGAATTTTTCTTTACTTGTTTCAATGTCTTATCTTTTTTTGTGGTGTTGTCTAGAACCGTGTTCTTTCTTATGGTATCGCTGGGGCCATTGTATTCCGATTTACACTGATACTTCTTGGGACAGCCACGCTTCAGGTTGACTCTTCATCGTTTTATGGTTTTTTCTACAATCCTTTGAAACTTCACTTGCTGTTGACAGTGTTTTAACTTGTACATTTTGTTTTGCTCTGATAGAGGTTTGAAGTCGTGAACCTTCTACTAGCAGCAATACTCCTGTATTCCTCATTTAAGGTAACATTACTCTAAACCATAGGGCCACTTTTATCTGTATAAGATGCAAACTTTTAAATTTATAATTGATAGTTTAGCAAAAACTAATAGGCACTGGCCGTATTATACTCTGTTGTTAGAATAGTATATAAGTACCTGCATATTATATTCTATTGGCAGTTCTCCCTTTCTTAGATGAGCATGTATAGATGCCTTGCATATGTTGTGGTTTTTTAACTCATCATTAAGAAATTCAACATATAGCTTTTTAGTCTATAGTTTCCTTTGTTACTGTTGCCCATGTGATTGGGTATATATGGTTGCAGTCTTTCAAAGAACTGTCATCTCTTGGTCTTTTCATAGTCCTGTACACAAAGTACTTAGTACAAATCAAATTTAATTATTTTCACTGCTCATTACCCAATAATAATTGAAATAACAGGGAAAACTCGCAATTAGCTGATATTAATAGTTTAAGACAACTAAAACATTAAAGAATCCTTGCTTAAAGCCTGTCCTGAATGCTAAATTAAGGCAAACTTGCAGTACTTTGAGTAGGCTGTGGCAGTGTTACCTGGTCCGTGCTTCATACTATGGCTTAAATTGCTCCTCTTACTTAGGTTCTGCTTATATTTGTCTTCTAATTTTTCCCCAGCTGGCTTAAGAAGTTCTTTCTGCTTTATATTTGTTCTTACTTTGCACAAAATTTTCATTCTGATACCCCCTTTTTTTTTATTTTTTGGGTGTACCCTTTTCCGCATATCGAAAATAGTTATTTACCGCTGAAGAAGAAGATGAAGACTTGTCGGACAATTTTATTGTGAAGACTTGCCAGAAAGTAATTCCTGTCACAGGTAACAGTTGTTCTATGTATATTTGACATTTAGTTTTTATCAATCATTCAGCTGAGCTCACGAGGACGTGTCCAATAATATTGTCTGGTTATGGCTCCCTTTTGTGATACTATACTGTTCTACTTAAAAAAGAAAGTGCCCTGAACTTTCAAGCTTAATCTTGTCTTCTAAGTGTACGAACCATGTATCAAAATAAGTATACTTAAGTTTTGAAGATCAGAGGAATAGGCAATCTTGTCTACTACTATTTTAGATGATAGTATCATACATATAAATCTTTAAGAAAAAATTCGGGGGTGGGGAGTGTTACTTATTTATCAGATTGAGAAGCTCTTTTCCTTGAAATATCTGATAGGACGAATAAAAATTATTGTGAAGTTGATTAAAAGTAGGCCTGGCTTCAAAGATTTTATTGTATGAGCAGTGGCAACAAGAGTTCTGTTCATGAGTTTGTTGATGAGAAATTGTTTTACCAACATAACGTCGTTATTTTTAGTTTCTCTTGTATATGAAATAGATAAATGGAATCGATTGAGTTGTTGTTAGCTTTCACTTAATGACATGTAGTTTTGAATGGATTATAATTGCTCTTAATGAATCATAAATAATGATGCATGTACTACAAATTCTGTAATCTTTTAAAGGATCCTAAGTTGTTTGGATTCCTAGTCTTAGTAGGGTTACAATTCATGTCAGGCTCTATTATGTATAGAAACTATGTTTGTTGGCAATACTAACAGATATGGGCCTAAAATTGACAAGTTATCTTAAACAAAAGTCGTTGAAACTGAAACTGAAACTGAAACAGATAAGGATGTTGATCATTAGATGTTTGCACGAGCTGCTAGTTAGAATGTAGAAGTGGCTGTTTAAGTCGCTTAAATTAAAGAAATTTCTCTTGTTTAATTGAAATTGTCAGGAAAATTCAGATAACATAGTTAAGTCTCGTGAAATGAGTTACCAAACAGACTTAAAATCTTATTAAGAAAATCATAATTGTAAGCCTGTAAGGCTGATGATAATAGTTTATACTTTGCTGTCATGATTTGTTGTCCAAAATCTCATTTCTCATCATTTGAACTTTGCAGCTAGGTATGATGGCAATCGGTTTTTCACAATCGACAATGGTGTCTGGAAGGTCAGTAACCAATGAACATTGTTAGTTAATTTCTTTATCCATGGAAGCTTATACTGAGCACATCAATCAAATTGAAGTGTGCCAACAGTTACAGACTTGATTTTTTGGTATGTCGTTGTTATGGGTTTCATCATGTAATGCTATTTCTCTTAAACCTCTTCACGTCCATAGAGAAACATTGAAAAGGAAAACAGTACTCCCATCATTAGTCAGGTAAAATGGATCATTCATTGGACCAGGCAGTCAAGTTTGTCATATCAAAAATTGAGTCATTGCACCTGTCATGTCTCTTTATCCATGTCATCTCTCCATTAAACATGTAATTAGCTATTTAAGGGGTTTGTGTTTGGAAAAAAACTATAGGATTAATCTTTTTTCTTATCTCTTAATAATCCCAACTTTGAGGGAACTCTTCTGAAAATAATTCCAACAGTTTGTGAATTTAATATAGTTCACAGACCATCCCCTTGCTTATATGCCTAGATTTAATTGAGATATGATCACGTGTTCATGGTGGTGGTGGTGTCAAATAGGAGAGAGGATGGTGAAGGTGGTGTTTGTAGAATAACATGGGAGAGTGAAGAGAGGAGGGTGTTGTTAGTGAGGATGGAGAGTTATAGAGGAGTGAGTAAGAAGAGTATGGTGGTGGATTGGTGGTAGATAGTGAGAAGAGACAAAAAAGAGAGACTATCAAAAATGATATATACCGTAAATTAATTTATAACTGAAAATTCAACACCGTCAAAATCCTAGACTGCTTTAAAAAGAGCTTCCCTAAAGTGTGTATATGAGTAACACAGAGTAGAGCTTTATTTCAAGACTCGCCAAGCTATGTAACAAATTGTTCTTTCCATTTTGCTCTTTATTTTGATAAGATGACCAATTTATTTTTAAATCAGTTATTTTCTTTTATTTATCTTGCTGTTTGAACAGATTTCAGCCCATCACTTCACCTTATATTTTGTTCTGATGACTTGATAATTAGTAAAAAAATTCCTAATCAATGTGTGCACATATGTTTCCTTTGGTGTCTCTATCTTGTATTGTTACAGTAATTGTACATTTGTACTTGGCTTCTAACAGGCATAAAACATTTTGGGCAGGCCACACCTTTACTCCTCACTGTAGCAGTTATTGAATTGAGTGATATTGCATTTGCTGTAAGTTTTCTTTTATCTCTTGGCTTTAAATTTCATATAAACTTCATGGTTAAGTATGCTTAGATCATGAACAAATTAATCAGTATTTTGTTTGCCTATATCTATTACACGCAGGTCGACTCAATACCGGCTGTGTTTGGTGTAACACGAGATCCTTTCATAGTATTTTCATCCAATCTCTTTGCTATCTTAGGTGATATTTTGTTTTCAGTCCTTCACTAGTTCAGTAATTAAGCTAAACCAACAATTTATTGGTGTTAGTTTTCTAGACAAAACATTGAATATTCCACTTACTATGCTGGTGAAAATTTGAATGTACTGTTTAGGTATCACTTACTGGTTCTTCTTCATTATTATATGAAACATGAGAATCTTACCCGTGGAGTATTATACTATCTAGGTGGCAGAACATTTTGTTGGAACATAAACATTGTGATAGCATAATGGAAGAAGTAATATTAACTTGAAACTAAAGACATTAAAAATTTTCTGCTACACTTTTAACTTGGAATGCTTAAGAAGCACATTTAGTGCTGAACACCTGATGATATATAGATATAGTCTTGGCTTAGATTATGTTTCCTTGGTTACCACCTATTTTAACAACGTTAGTCTAAGGTTTTGAGGTATGTGTGTGTCTGTCTGTTAGAATGGTAACTAGAGTTGCAACTATGGTGCTGGTCCTGCTGGAAGCTATGTCTGAATAAATCAAACCTTTCTATTAGACTCTAAGTGACAGAATAATCATTTCCAAAGTGAGAAAATTATCTATAGCTTTTAAGTCCGAAGACTACGAACCTAAATGGACAAAAAAATAGGTAGTCATTGGACTACATAATCTGAGATAATTTTTGAACTTATAAATGAATGAGTCAAAAGCTTCTTCAATCCCAGCCAAGGGAAGGGAAAAAAAAGATGCTAATTAAAAATTTGGGCTCAGGGTGGACAAAGAAAGAGACATTTCTTGATATTTTGATTGAACTAAAATTAAGAAAAATATACAGGGATAGGAAATTTTGGCTGAGAGAGGAGGAACACAAACTAGGTTTAAAAGATAATACAAAGTAGATAATTTCTCTGAAACTTTATTTGACCATAAAATAATGGAAATTTTAGAAAATAACACCACAAAAAACACACGATTTTAATCATAACACCACCAAAAAAAAAACTTTTACTATTACACCACCAAAAATCCCAAAATTTTGCTTTTACCGCCACTTAGTGGATGCCGTCCAAAAAACCGTTTGTAGGCCCCAGCAAATACACGTGTCACTTTTATATCTTTTTAATTTATTTTTGTGGTGTTATTTTCTAAAATTTCCTAAAATAAATGCAATGCAAAGATCCAAGTGTATTGAGTGGCTAACATTTTTAATTTATTTTATAATTATAAAGTAGTAGTATGACTGATGCTTCTAATTTTAATACAGGTTTAAGATCGCTATATACTCTTATTTCTGAAAGCATGGCCAATTTGGAGTACCTGCAGGTGAATTAACTTTCCTGTCATCAGTAGACCTGTTTTATTGTGAATTATACAGACTTATGTTTTGCTGTTTTAGTAATCTGCTGCATGTTGATAACCATAATGCTTTTTCATTAGGGAAATAAAATACTAAAAAACCGATGAAGGCTTGGAACAAAATATGTCAACTCAAGGAATTCAAAGTATTCTTTCACCTTTTGTGCAGTTTGAATAATGTTTGCCAATAGAAATGCGGTCTATGGATATATCATTAGTAATTAAAGGATACTATTGGCTTGGTTTCTACTTCATATGTATTTCTATTTCCCTGGATATTTTCATTGTTTGTTGCTTTCCCCTCCGTGGCTCCAAGCTCCTGTGGAGCATCATCTTCTTTTCTTTTATTTTTTATTTGGGAGGGAGTCATTCCCTATGACTATCTAAAATACTAATTAACGCTACAATTTCTTTTGTTCAGCCCTCCATAGCTGTTGTACTAGGCTTCATTGGGCTGAAGATGATCCTTGATTACTTTGGTGGGTGTTTTAACACTAATGTCTCCTGGTTTTTATTATTTGTCTATGTTTATTGTTTGATCAGGAATGGTTTAATTTCTCTCTCTTACTTTTCTTTTCTTTCAGGGTTCCATGTCGGAACAGAAGTATCTCTTGGTTTTTTGGCTACAAGCCTTTCCACCGGTGTGCTTCTGAGTTTGATTAAAAAGCCTGAGTAACTGAAGTGATAAGGGAGTATGGCTCCATTGTAAGCATTCATGTCATTTGCATCTTTTTTTTCTTTCATACGTCACTATTGTTTTTAGGACCTTTCTTTACAGATCCATGAGCAAAAAATATCACTGCTAAGATTGCGAACTTTTTCTTGGGGGATTTAATAAATTTTTTAGTTGTATTCTATAATATAAACCTAAATTTAGCTGCTCAAGTCCCAATCTCCCTATTTTTCGTCAAAGGAAATTAGATGGTCACCTTACTCATTCCCAGCTTTTTTGGCTAACAGGAAGCACTGTCCTCGTCAGAACTTTTGGCTGGTCATTCGTCCACTCTTCTAGTAGAGGGACATATCAGGCATTTTGTAGGTGAAGCTGCAGTTCATGAAAATTCTTGGTGTAATCTTGTATAGTTGTATGTATGCAGGGAAAGCGGTGATGGTATAGCGAGTGCTGCTTCACTCTCCCATCACTTCCCCCCCCCCCCCCCTCCCTTTTTCCGTATTCTTGCCCCCAATCCATGTTTCAGGGGGGTGAGCTGTAATTGTATCTTCTCTATCTCAGACTTGGTTTAGCCTTGGCACAATGAGCATTAACTGACTAACATCAGTATAATTCTGCTCTTTCAAACTTATCTAGTTTATAGTGAGCAGTGACATCATTTTTTCTGTATATGGTTTTGCCTTCCGATGATCATAAACTGGTTTAGGCTTACCTTGAATTCATGAGATATCTTTTGCCATTTTTGTATTTAAATCCAATAATCTCTAATTAAAAAATTTTCTTCATGTATACTTCGTGTTAAGAAACATGGTGTCTTTGTTTTTATCCTTTACAGAAGCCAACTCTTCCTTCCCTATTGATTCATTCACTTTACAGCGCGAAAAAATTGTAATTTTCAACAACCCTTCTACAATAGACAGCCAGCACAATGGTAGACAACCTTTCTATGTTGTGTACTGAGCAAATGTTTCTTTGCTCAACCCACAATTTGAGTGTCAAACAAACTCATCGCCTTCGATCCAGGGCAAAGAATCAAGAACCCCCGATCAAAAAAATTCAAACCTGGAACCTTTAGAATCCGAAAACTTATCAAGTGAATCAAGCTTAGTGATAGTGATATACTTCATTGTCCTCGTATATAAAGAAATACGCATATACAAGCTTTGTAGCCCAATTAAAACTTAGTGCAACATAGCTGTAACGTGTAGCCCATACTTGTGATTGTGCCATGAAAACGAAATTTATTGCCCAAATACAAATTTAAGTGACAAAAACATATTGACCCACAAAACCTATACATTTGCAACGACATACCTTCCATAGCCTGATAGCCCTAAATATTATTTATCATCGAAAACTAGTGTTTAGTTCAAATGATGCTCCTCATATTACATGATTGATGGCTGAGTTATATTTTAAATTGTATACTTGCTCTACTTTTCCATGTGCGAAAGAATAAAAAATTGCAAAAAGCAAAAGTAGTTGAGAAAATGGGAGGTTATAGAATATGAAATTTATAAAATATAATTTATTTTGGCTCTACTTAGTGAGAGAAATAAATTAAATATTGTAAAAGCTTTCCAAATGAAAGGAAATCAAGCAAGTATTTAAAAAGAAGCCGAAAAAGAAAAGTGGAGCAAGTATTTAAAAATAGAGGGAATATCTTAATATGTTTTGATTCGAACAATATTATTGAAAAGAAAAAAAAAGACAGTATTCTACTTTCTCCCTTTTTTTATAGATGCATTACAATCTATACATGAAAGTTTCAATTTAGATACATCACTTTTCCTTTTTATCAATAAATTCTCTTTATCTTTTTTCTCATATCATATGAGCCCGCTTTATTTTATTATTTTTTTTCTCTATAAATTCGCAATTTGAAAATAATAAATGTAATAAAAAGAAAATGGAAGAAGTAAGCTAAATCTAAAGTAAATGCTTAATTGTTTGAAATTATAATGTCATTAGAGTATTTTGTCTCAAGACTTTAACTTGTCATCAAGGAAATCAGCAAATAAGTGAAACATAACGACGCGTTTGGTGAGCGGTTATAGATAGTGAAAATGGTAATGCATCAATTTGCAAATTTGTAGAGAAAATTGTACAGTATATCAGTGGTGTGTGAGGTCATTTTTAAGCTCTCATGTTCCTCACAAAATTTCATTACTATCCATTACCATATGTAATGGATTTCATTACCATGATATTGAGTATGAGTAACACATACCCAATACCCACAAATATATTACCATTCTCTTGATTTATAACCGTTAAACAACCAAATGGGTTTTAATACTTTCTCTGTTTCTTTTTAGTTCCTACACTTTTCTATTTTGGAAATTTTTAATTAGTTGCAATACTTTCATTTTTTACTTTTCTTTCTCTCTATCTCTCTCTTACCCACATAGGTTCTTCTTATTCTTCTCTCTATCTCTCTCCTCTTAAAAATTGTCTAGGAGTCTATGAAAATAAAAGTTTCACAACTAAAAAAACTACGAAAGTAGTACCGAATTAAAAAAAAAAAAAAAAGCTGACTTATTTAAATGGAGTAGGAAAACGAAGCTGACGAAAATTTGAAATGGTTAGATGCAATTTTTATTCGTAAATGGTTATACAGATTTTGTTGAGCGTCTACAATATATGAAATTGGCCCGAATGATGTAATATGTTAAAACTGTTTTAGGGTAAGGTCACACGTGACACACATACTTGCTTGTTATCGTTTTTTATTTCATTATTGATACCAATTAGTATATTTGCCATTGATATAGCATCATGGGTTGATATTCAACCATTTGTCATAAAATTTGCCCACTAATAAAAAATCTAAGTTGGAACAAACAATATTAGAACACATTGGCATATCAATAAAGACAAATAAAAGCTATAAAACCACCTGATAAGTGGCCCTTAATTGCGTGGGAAAAAGACTTGAGCTTTTGTTCCGTTGTCTCCTTCGAACACCCTACCATTAAATGGAATCACTCCCAACATATGAACAAATTATTTGGGATGTTTTAGGGTTTCCATTTCATGTTACTTCATAGTTTTTAGCTACTAGATTATAATGTTCTGTCCTATTCATCATCCATACTCGCACGTTTATTCAAAATATTTATTTGAAGCAAATTGATTTTCATTGATTAATACTTATATATTTACAATATAAGTGATATTTCTATTATGAAATATAACGTTAAATAATGTGCAATTAACCACCAATTATCAATTTTAGAGCAAATTATATAAGAAAAACAATATATATGTTGATTTTTTTATATGAAACAATTATATATGTAATGCATCTTAAATCAACAAGTAAAATTGTTCGTGCGAAATTTGAATTGAATTTAATATTGAAAATTAATAGCACATTGGACAAATTGAATAATATGATACATTTGAAAATTGTGGATTAAATTACACACCTATAGTAAAATAATATCAAACATAAAAATTATGTTTGTATTTTTTTACAAAATTTATCGTTCGACTAAACCCGTTCTCGTTTTGGATCTGCGTTCATGAAATTCAAATCTCCAACATTCTTCACATTTAAACTATGTAACTAAAACTAAGGTTGGATCAACTAACATTGGAGAGTATTGATTAAGGTTAGACGGTAAATCCAAGTCAAATTTGAACCCATTGTCAAATATATGTGATATATGTGAATATATCTTTTGGTTATGTGAATATATTTTTTTATTCCTAATGTTTTGTACATTAGATAAGCATAGTGAGTGTTTGGTGGTAAAGTAGTGGTTAGGGTAGCTTTTAGTGGTGGAGGTAGATTTAATGAAAAGTTAGATAAATTAGCTTTTGAAATTAGAGGTAGCTTTTAAGGTGGCTGTTGAAAATTTAATCTATAATTTTAAAAATAAAATATTGATTTTTATATGTAACAGCTAGTCAACCGCTACTTTACCGAACACGCATATCTAAATTATTTATCTTCACAACTAATAGCTTATTGACAGCTAGCAGTTACCTACACATCTAACAACTACCTCCACAGCTACAGCTACCTTCACAACTATATTTTGCCGAACACGCCCATAGTTTATGTTCCTTAGAATTAGGCGTTGAATATAATATTGTACTCCTTAGTTTTAGTCTAACAGCATATTGTATTATATATATATATATATATATATTCACGGAAAGTCAATAGCAATCCTTTGAGGAATTATTTCTATTACCTATGTTGATTTTAAGGTCATGATTTTGTATTTAAAAAGTAGGCTAAATATTTGTTTACACACGAGATTTATCCAATTTGCAAATAACATTTATGATAATTTATAGCATTATAACACGTTTTAATCATCTACAAATTGCAAAATATATTTATTGCATATGTTTGATACCTAAATTGTAAATAAAAAGATTAGAAAAAAATGGAAGAGTATTTAATATTTTTTTCTAGGAACTATTGCTAAAAATAATACAACCTTTGGCCCATTCTTTTTTAATAATACAACCTTTGGATTATTTTGTAATAATACAACCTTTAGGGGGTGTTCATTTTAAACAAGATAAAATCAAATTTTCGGTGGACATTGAGGTTAAGAAAGGGGACGGGTGAGTTTTCATGGTGGGGATGAGGAAGGATGGAATATCCCCTCCCCTTCTCCTACCTCAAAACTCACCGAAAATTCGATTTTATCTTGCTTAAAATGAATACCCCCTTAAGGTTGTATTATTACAAAATAATCAAAAGGTTGCATTATTAAAAAAGAATGGGACAAAGGTTGTATTATTTTTAGCAATTTTTCCTTTTTTCTATTTATTATATAGTTTTTATATTCAATTGGTCTTGTATGGACCCGGTCTACAATAAATTATTGTAGACTGATTAGGTTGTCGGACACCTGTCAAAAATAAATTCCTAACAAAACCAACTAACAATGTAGTAGGGTAAGTAGGATCGAATCCACAAAGAGATGGTTATTTAATCTAACTTCTAAGGTATGAAGAAACTCAACTATGTCACGAAATTGAGATAGAAAAATAGTCTAAATTAAAAGAGGGATAAAATAATTAATAAAAAGACCTAGGGTTATGGTTTTCCATGTTTATAGTTCTAAATCTATCAAATATCAATAACAATTCAATCAATCAATTATCTAGAGCAATTGCTAAGCCTACGGTCGGGTCTTAACGCTCTCAATTCAACATATGCAGTACGGTCGCTAACATAATCAGAATTGCTAATTGTAGGGAAGCCTCTAAAAGTAAGATCTTTCGATTCAAACTCTTATTAACATGAATTAATCAAACAATTGATCAGGTTGCAAGATTAACAATAAAACTCTATCAATTAGAGAAATTAATAATCAAAATATTAAAAACATCAATCAAGATTCATAATATAAATATGGATTCCCAAACCCTAGAAATAAACTACTCAAACATGGAAGAAATAATTAAAACTAGATCTAAGGAATAAAACATAATTAAAAATAAGAGATAGAAATAAAATACCTCAATGAATTGAAATAATAAACTCAAGAATCATCCATGGAGATGCCATGAGAAACTAGGGTTCAAAAGAGAAAACTAAAAAGAACGTAAAATAATAGAAGATATAAAAGGCATAAGGGAAAATAATAATCCCTTGAGTATTTATAAACTTCCTAAATTCTAATCTAAAAATAATTAAAGAAAAGAAATAAGAAAATAATATATACATAAGTTGCAATATTATTGGATGATAAAGGATGACGTGGCACGAAGACTAAGTACGATGTGGGACGACGAAGCTACTCAAGGCTTCGAGGGCTGCTCGACCAGACCTGCGGGCGCAGGCCTAGCCGCGGCCTGGCAGTAGCATCAGGTGGCCTCGATTGGGCGCGGGGCAGAGGCGCAGCCAGCCCTGCGGTGTTACACCTCGTCGCTGATTGCATTTCTCAGCTTGAAATGGCCATATCTTCTGTTCTAGGAAGCTTCTTTGGTTATGTGACCTATCATTGGAAAGCTCTTCAAGTCTAGTTTACAACGCAATTTGAATCGCTTCAATCCAATCTTTAGAACTCAAGTTATGATCAAAAGAGTGATCAAAGGTCTGTTTTGCCACTTTACAAACCTTCGTTTTTCTTCTATTCTAACTCAAATTCATTTCCGTAAAGTACATAAAGACCCTTGTGAATGCTATATTCATGTCTCATGCACATATTAATCAAAATCAACATCCACAAACATGGGATCTCCAATTAATAAACTCAATTCATCGGCTTCCATCCAAATATCATCCGAATCAACTCCAAACACTACGAAAGCGTCCAAATGTCTATCAAATCACCTGAATCATTAAGAAAAACACAAACGGAACGTAATAGAGTACAAAACAAATAACTTATGTATTTACGACCTAAAAAGCGACTAAAAGACCTAAAAAGCAACTATAAACTTAGCATAAACGTGCCTATAAATCCTATATAAATGTGATTCATCATAGACCCAAAATTTGACACTTTCAAATAATATAATCACATTTTGGATGATATAATCACTTTTTTAGATGATATAATTATATTTTTGTGAGTCATATTTTGAATTATATAATTTCATATTAAACCATTTAATGAGATTATATAATTATCTTTAGGATGATAAAATTTAAAAATCATGTTTTGAAATGATGTAATTTACTATTTGATACTTTTTATAATGATAAATTTACTTTTTGAGTTATACATTTACATAACAGTTTCAAAATGATATAATCACTTTTGTAGTAATATAATCACATCTCGTATGATATAATCACATTCGTATGGTATACAAGAAGGTTGGGTCTACAATAAATTATTGTAGACCGAGTCTATTCTAGTCTTTGTATTTATTGAAATCGGTCAACAGTTTAATCAAACTTCAATGAAACAGTAAAATTGCTCCAATAGCTTCTTCATTCATTGAATCAAATTGAAAATTCTTACAATGGAGTTTCTTACAGAAGAAGATATTTTGAGGAAAAACTTTCAATAGAAAAATAGAGAGGAAAAATAAGAGAAGAATTGATCACACGAAAGTTGTGATTCATTATATTGACTTTTTGACTATAATATGACTATATTTATTCTGTTATTACAAGCAGCTGAAAAACAAAACTAATAACAAATTTGTTGCCACGTCATCCCGTGATTTCAGGAAGTTAGTTATAACTAACTTTCATCCAGATTCCTCCAGAAGCTTCTCATCATCAAAATCCTGAAGTGTTGATTTGATGATTGCTGCTAATGTTGCTCATGTAAGTTGCTGACTGTTCTGCTAAGCTGTAAGTTGTTGACTGTTCTGCTGAGTTGTGCTGAAAGCAGAGCTGGAAGCAGGACAATCCCCAATACCCCCCCTCAAGCTAGAGGATGATTGAGTATCAATCAGACCTAGCTTAGAACAAAGATCAAAATGCTGGGGAGAGCAAAGAGATTTAGTAAAAATATCATCTAACTGATTGGTACTTGGCACAAAACTGAGTTGAATCAACCCTTCCAAGACTTTGTCCCTAGTGAAATGACAGCCCAGCTCAATATGTTTGGTGCGTTCATGGAAGACTGGATTCTTCCCAATATGAATCGCAACTTGATCATCACAGTTAAGCTTTACAAGCTTTAAGTTTAACACACCAAGTTCCTGCAACAACCTTACTAGCCATGTAATCTCAGAAGAAGCTGCTGCCATTGCTCTATACTCAGCCTCAGAAGAAGACTTAGAAACAGTGCCTTGTTTTTTAGATTTCCAAGAAATTGGGGAATTCCCAAGCAGCATAACATAGCCAGTTACTGATCTTCTAGAATTGGGACAGGAAGCCCAATCTGAATCAGAATAACCCTGTAAGGTTAACTGATCTGTAGCATACAACAAGATGCCTTGTCCTATTGTACCAGCAACATATCTTAATACATGATGAAGAGCTTGAAAATGAGGAACCCGAGGCTGCTGTAAGAATTGACTAAGAGTTTGCACAGCAAAGGACAAATTAGATCTAGTGTTTGTAAGGAAATTGAGTTTCCCAACCAAACATCTGTAAAATAAGGGATCAAGATAGAAATCACCAACATTAGTGAACAGCTTGAAATTTGGAGGGAGAGGTGTCTTAGCTTGCTTAGACAAATCCAAATTGCAATCTTGCAAAAGTTCCTTGGTGAACTTTCTTTGAGACAGGACAATCCCCTGATTGATATAACAAACTTCAATGCAAAGGAAGAAATGTAATTGCCCCAAGTTTTTGATGCTGAAGACCTTGTGTAAATGAGCCTTTAGATCCAAAATAGTGGTTGTATTAGAACCAGTTACTATTATGTCATCAACATACACAACAACAATTGTTATATCAATGTCAGTCTTGTGAATGAACAAGGAATAGTCATTCTTAGACTGAACAAAACCCTTTGCTAGCAACTCAGCATTCAAACTAGAAAACCACTACCTGGAAGCTTGTTTTAAACCATATAAGGATCTTCTCAATCTGCAAACAAGTGTGGATTTGGAACACCCTCAGGAACTCTCATATGTACTTCTTCAGAGAGATTACCATGCAGAAATGCATTATTTATGTCAAGCTGATGCAAATTCCACCCTTTACTTGCTGCAAGAGATAAAAGACATCTGACAGTTGCCATTTTAACAACTGGAGAAAATGTCTCTTCAAAATCGATGCCATACCTCTGTGTAAATCCTTTGGCAACTAATCTTGCCTTGAATCTCTCTACTGAACCATCTGCTTTCAATTTTACCTTGAACACCCACTTGCATCCTATGGCTTTCTTCTCTTTAGGAAGTTTCACAAGCTCCCAAGTTCCATTAGATACAAGAGCATTTATATCTTTCCTCATAGCTTCAACCCATCTCTCATCCTGTGAAGCTTCCAAATAGCTGCAGGGTTTCGAAATTTGACTAGCATGACAGACTAGAGCTCTGAAGGGTGATGGCATCTCATAAAATTTTACTATATTGCACCAATGCTGATCATTAATAGAAATACCAATATAATCTCTCATCCAAAAAGGAGATTTATGAGGTCTGCTAGATTGTCTAACAGATTTTGGGTTTGAAACAAGGTTAGTTTGGGAAATTTGAGGAGTTTGGGTATAAATGGGTGGTGGTGTGCTGGAATTTTGTGGAGTTTGGGTAGAAAATGATGGTGAGGTAATATTTTGTGGAGTTTGAGTGTTTTCCGTGTCAAATGAGATTGAATCTGAAGTGCTAGAAATACCAGTGTCTGATTCTAACACAAAAGGCTCAGGAATTTCTATGTTATCATCAAAAGTGAAAGGTGTATAGGCTGGAAGGAAAATAGGGAATTGTTGTGTAGGTTGTGTATGATGAAAAGGTAGGTGATTTTCATGAAACTTCACATCTCTGGAAATGATCACCTTTTTGTTATCAAGATCCCAGAGCTTATAAGCCTTTTGATCAGGGGGATATCCAATGAACACACAAGGAACAACCCTTGTATCAAACTTGCTCCTGCTAGATTTCAGTGTAGAAGCATAACAAAGATCGACAACCAAAAATTCTGAGATGATCAAGAATAGGCTTAGAACCCATTAATTTCTGATAAGGTGAGACAAAACCAGCATTACTCAGAGGCATTCTGTTAATGATATGAGTTGCACATAGGAGACATTCCCCCCCAAAAGAAACAGACACTTTAGATTGGAAGTAAAGAGCCCTTGCTGTTTCAAGTAAATGCCTATGTTTCCTCTCCACAACACCATTTTGCTGAGGTGTTTCTACACAACTCTTTTGATGTACAATGCCATGAGAATTATAGAAAACAAGCATTTCACCTTCACACAACTCTTTAGCATTATCAGATCTAATGCATTTAATGCTTGTATTGAACTGAGTTTGAACAAAAACAGCAAAGTTCTCAATTATTTTTACAGCATCACTTTTGTGTTTCATCAAATAAGTCCAGGTATGCCTTGTAAAATCATCAACTATGGTCAAGAACCAACTAAAACCATCATGAGTAGATGTTTTATAGGGACCCCAAGTATCTATGTGCAACAAATCAAAACTATGTGAAGTTTTAATGCAACTCTTAGGAAAAGATAATCTTGTTTGTCTAACTCTAGGACAAACTTGACATATGCAATCACTGCCAATTGTAGAAGAAAAGACATCATTAAAATGATGCAGCTTATTAAAAGGAATGTGTCCTAACCTCAAGTGCCACAATTTAGCCTCTTCTGAACTAGCTAAACAAACTGATCCCACCTTTGCTTCTGTCCTGGATCCTGCTGAATCTGCTACTGCATATAGACCTGATTCCAGTTTACCAAGAACTAGGGAAGTATTCTTGGTTTGATCCTGAAGGATGCATGTATCATGAGTGAATTTAATATCACAACCAAGATCTTTGCAAAGTTTGTGTGTGGAAATCAAATTGAACTGGAAACCAGGAACATGTAAGACATTCTTAAGTTCAATCCCATTCTAGAATTTCAAATTCCCAATATGCTCAATGCTGACTTGTTTACCATTAGCAACAGTTATTGTATTAGGAATCTTAGTATATTGACATAAGAATCAAATAAATCCAATGCAGAACACATATGGTATGTTTCTCCACTGTCAATAATCCACTTGCTATTAAAACAGGACATAAGACAAGTACCTGCCACATATGCTGAAGGACTTGCAGCATGCACTTGTCCTGTTCCTGCTGAACTGCTCTCCAATCCTGAAGCAAGAGAATGTTGATTGCTATCTTGATGCATATACTCCAAGAACTGATTATACTGTCCCATAGAAATATGAGCCGGCTCATTATCTTCAGTATCAGCTATACTATCATCTCCATAAACTCTATCTACTATTTTCTTGCCCTTAAACTTGTTCTGGCCAAAATTAGGTGGATACCCAATGATCTTGAAGCATCTGTCCTTAGTATGACCTGCCATTTTGCAGTGATCACAAAACAATCATGAAATTTTCCTGTAATTAGGAACAAAATTGCCCCTGGGAAACTGCTGTCCCTGCTGAAACCTTGAAGGTCCAGAATAATGCTGCATATTTCTCTTTTGCTCAGATGCTACAAATGCCATGGATTGACCAGTACCAGAATCAATCATGCTGACCTGCCTTTGCTTCTCTTCTTGCATCAAAAGTCTATAAGCCATAGACACATTTGGCAAAGGCTGCATCATCAAGATATTAGTCCTTACACCAGCATACTTCTCATCAAGCTTCATTAAAAGCCGAATTAATCTTTCTTCTTGCTACCGTTGAATGATTTTCTGAGAAATACCACAAGTACAACCAGTACATGAGCAAACTGGAATAGGATTAACACCATTAATCTCATCCCAAATTGCTTTAATTTTGGTGAAAAATTCTGCTATAGGAGTTGAACCTTGAGAAAGATCATGTAAATTCTGCTGTAGATTATACAATTGAGGACTAGAACTTTGAGAATATCTATCCTCCAAGTCCTTCCAGATTTCTCTTGCAGAAGTAAAATACAGTACACTCCGAGCTATATTATGATCGATTGAATGCAAAATATAGCTAGTAATCATAGCATTGCATCTATCCCATGCATGGATCTCAGATCCAGAAATAGGTCTAGATAGACTTCCATCAACAAAACACAATTTGTTTTTAGCAGACAAAGCAATAGTCATACCCAGTTTCCATTCATTATAACAATTTCCAGCAAATTTCTCAGTAACAAGTGAATTAGTAGGATTTTCAGAAGGATGAATGAAATATACACTCGAAGGATCACTAGTCAAAACAACAGGTGTTCCAGCAGCCATGATTCCAGAAAGAAGATGAGGAACAAGCAACAATTTCCAAAAAAAAAAAAATAGGTATACTCAAGAATCTCAACAATCAATAGATTTCCAGAAATATAAACAGCAACAACAATCAAAAGAAACTTCAAGCAGCAAGAAAACCTCAATCAAATCAAAGAAACTTAATCAATCAACGAATCAAATGAATAGCAGATTCAAACCTGCTCTGATACCATATTGAAATCAATCAACAGTTTAATCAAACTTCAATGAAATAGTAAAATTGCTCCAATAGCTTCTTCATTCATTGAATCAAATTGAAAATTCTTACAATGGAGTTTCTTACAGAAGAAGATATTTTGAGGAAAAACTTTCAATAGAAAAATAGAGAAGAAAAATAAGAGAAGAATTGACCACACAAAAGTTGTGATTCATTACATTGACTTTTTAACTATAATAGGACTATATATAGTCTGTTATTACAAGAAGCTGAAAAACAAAACTAATAACAAATTCGTTGCCACGTCATCCCGTGATTTCAGGAAGTAAGTTATAACTAACTTTCATCCAGATTCCTCCAGAAGCTTCTCATCATCAAAATCCTGAAATACTGATTTGATGATTGCTGCTAATGCTGCTCCTGTAAGTTGCTGACTGTTCTACAGAGTTGTAAGTTGTTGACTGTTCTGCTGAGTTGTGCTGAAAGCAGAGCTGGAAGCAGGACAATCCCCAATAGTATTTTACATTATATATATTTTTATATTTTGTAAAATATGAACTATATCGCTTCTAAACTATTAAAATAGTAATGAATAGCTAATTTGTAAAATAGTGTTGAATGAATGAACTATATATACTCCACAATATATATTTATTGAAAGTCTTTAATAGGATTAGTAGTCCAATTTGAATAATAACTATCCTCTCAACAAAAAATAAAGTAACATGTACCAAATTATACAATAAAATTTTGAAAGTATCGGTCTAACAATCATGAACATTTTTTACCGTTATATATTGAGTCGAGAAGAAAGCAAAAGAAAATGATTTATAATTCACATGAAATATATATATATATATATATATATATATATATATATATATATATATATATATATATATATATATATATATATATATATATATATATATATATATATATATATATATATATATATAATACCTTAGAGCAAGAGACCAAGAGGTAAAGGTTTTTTTATTATTATTATTTTTTTAAGACATCGACATAAATTTAATTGTGATAAAATTTTAATTAATAATTTGGTGTTCATACATGTTTTTTTTAATACATTTTTACAAAGAAAATACTATAGTGTTCAAATTTCTTAAACACACACACAAAAAATATATATATATATATATATTTTCATAATTATTACAAAATAGATAAATGAAATTAAAAAATAGATAAATGATTTATAATTAATTTAGTATTTAAAATAATCAAAATCAACCTATAAAAATTAGTATAATGGTAGGTTGACTACCATAAAATTATCCATTATTTTTTTTAAAACAGGGAGACAGTAGTTTGTCCTCGACTTTTAATTAGTTGAAAATTTCGTTTTAAAAGTACATTTGTATCTATGTTTTAAGAAAATTAAACAAATATTGTGTTTTGTTAGCGTGCTATATACATAATCCTTATCACACTGAACCAATTTGAACAAGTTTTAAGCTTTATTTAAATTGTCTTAATTACGAATTGAATTGAAACTCTCTTCTTTCGTATCTAGATTATACCGAATATCTAAACATCTCTCAAGCTAAATAATGTACTCGTTCAAGAAATCGGATCACCTCAGCTCGATCTATTTAATTAATAACCACACAATATAAAGTCACATAATATAAAAATCAATTGTAGTACGTACAATTATAAGAAATAACTATGCTTATTAATTTACATGAACATTTTACATCTTAAAAGCTAAAAAATAAAAATCTTCAAATCAAGTATATATAGTTATATACCAATCAAAAGAAACGTAATAATGCCATTTTCTTAGCCTTTTTGTTTCTTATATGATTTTTATCATTTCTCTTTTGGGTTACAAAAGGCTAAATTGGAGACATACTCCTTACTCTCTCACTCTCCTCCGTTCATGGCGATTCAACCTATATATCATCATTACAAATGACAAAATAAGATTTGCACCAAAATATAAATGCCAAAAAAGATTTTATATTTAATTTTTTTTTTTCTAAAAAAATAGAAGGTGGTAAAACTTGCCACAAATTCCGCATTGCAAAGCCCACGTAAATAAACAAAGAACCATAAAATATGGTGACATGATGGATTAAATTATGGTTATTATTTGCTTTTGTTTTTTTTTCTTTCTTTTCTTTATATTTTTTGTGATGAAAATTTTTGCTATTGCATGATGCTACTTATGGAAGATTCTACACCAAGATAAAAGCCACAAAAATATCCGTACGTACAACAATGGCAAAATTGATGATAAGTTTGCCATGCAAACTAACGTGAAGATGCTTTCTAATTTCTACTTTTTTTGGTTTTATCTTTTAACTTTCTTCAACCATAAACTTTTTGTGTTGCTACATTGCTTTGTTTTTATGGCTTATTTTTACCTATATATCTATCAACTTTTATTTCCTTTGTAGAGTGATTATATATGATCCATAAACAAATTAATAAATGAAAAATAATACAAACAATAATATATACTAACTCTATTTCTGAAAATTCTTTACATTTTTCGTTTCTCTCCATCTCTTAATTTTTTTATCCCATAATATGTAAGTGGTGCATCTTTTCACTCATGTCCTTTTACTTTAAACGTGCAATTATTTTCGTACCCTATATTATACCATATAAGTAACCACATTAGAATTATCTCTTTAATTAACTTATAATTTGTTAGTAAACGTAAATGTTAAGTAATTTCATAATAAGATGTTTTTTGGGTAGAAACAAGGTGTAAATCACTCCATTTTATAAATTAAAGATGAAGAAAAAATGCAAATAAAAATATGCCTTCTTAGGAAAGGATGTTCTAGAAGAATATAGTGCATTATAGATTTATAAATTTGACCTTACATTGTACAAAGTATATGTTTATGTATTAATTTATAATGACATCACATCATGTATCAATCATCAAACTAATTAGCAATTTTTGCTGAAAATGGAAACAAAATTTGTGACTATTGAAAATTTGTAGTTAAGCTAGTTAGCTAAGTAGGCACGATTGAAACATTGAATAGGTAGGCAAATGGGCATATAAATTATGAAGTATTCTCATGCAAAATTAGTATATAGGACCACGAGGGTTTCACATGCACCGGGGACCAAAAATTGACCGTAAACTTCTCAACCCGAACCACCCATTTTATATCTCAATCAATGGTCATCATATATGACACGTTCAAATTACTATATCCCCATTTATAGACTCTTGTTTTTCACTATTTTCTCTTTTAATTTGTGGTAGAATCCCGTTTATATTAGCTGATAGGTTTTGACTTTGACACTATTACATAACAATAATGATTTTTGTGATTAATATTATGAAAAAAAAAAAAAAAATTTAAATGAAGAAAGTCGTTTTTCAGTTTCGTGCTGGAGTACAATTGATCGAATTGTGAAATGTTAGAGTAATCGTGCTAATAAACAAAATATATCCAAAGCATAATTAAAGAATGAGTAATAGACATTAAAAGTTGAGGATTTGGAAAGTTGTAGTAGGTGTATCAAAACTTCCAATCGGGAATTTTAATAGCTCGGGGTTTGTTTAATTCAACTGATTTTCATTAATTTGCACAAAATTATACTTTGTAGGGCTTGTTCTCATACGTTGAAATTCATTTCAATTCAGTTTAGTTTAGTTTAGTTCAGCTCAGTTCAGTTCAGCTCAGCTCCTAATTTCATTCTCTTATAAAATATTCATTTCAATTCAGTTCAGTTCAGTTCAGTTCAATTTAATTTAGCTCAGTTCAGTCAATGAGAACAGGCCCGTACTATTCTGAACTTGACTGAACTTACATGATGAACTTATTAGAACCTCGCCTACTTAGGTAATAATTGAATTAACAAATCTTATCAACCTATAGTAGATCTTATCTTAATTATTTCAACTTATTAATTAGTTCTTATCTGAACACATTTTCTCAAAATAAGTAAAAATAAAACCCTGAATATAAAATTCTACTTCAGATTTACCACTTATCTAAACTTAGTTTAGTTTTAAATTGATCACGAGTATCCTTTATATATTATCTGAACTTATTTTTCATATACATATCTTTTTGAATTTATTTTTTGTTGAAGAATAGACCTCTTAAATATCACTACATGTAAGTGTCTCACATTGGTTCAAAAAGAGAGAGTTGATCACTTTATAAGGCTAAGGGGCTATTTGCTTATATGGTTCTGGAATACAACCTCATTTGGTTTGCGGGTGCAGCCCAAACCCGTATTTAATCTGGTATCAAAGCTAGACCCACAATGTGGGACCCTAAATGGCTAAAGTTTACTAGGCCAAGAGCAGGTCCATGTGAGGCGGAGTGAAGAAGCACTCTAGCTCGAAAAATCACAAGAGACAAAGTGAAAAAGGAACCTTACATGTGAAGGGGAGTGTTGAAGAATAGGCCTCTTTAAGTCTCAAGTATCACCACATGTAAGTGTCACAAACTCTTAGCCCACATTGATTGAAGAAGAGAGATTTTATCACTTTATAAGGCTAAGGCCTAAGGGGCTTGGTGCCGGCTTACTGCTCCTGTTGTCATATGATTTTGGACTTGAACCTTCTTTGAACTTGTGAAGTGGACTCTCTCTTGGTTCGCGGATGCGTACAGCCTAGACCTGTATTTAACATTTTTAGTTATTATCCCGTAATTTGAACTTTAACAAATAAACATACAAGCGAAAATCATATAGACCAACCATAACCACAATTTTAATATCTTAGCCAAGCAATGAGTACCGGCCACAATTACTAATATTGGGTCAGACCAAATATATTGTAGGGTCTTCTAAC